GGCTTAATATTTATATTATTAAAAGAAGATATTCTAATCGATTATGTATAAAATTAAAAATATTTATTAAAATGGGGTTTGCTGTAGACAAAATGTAAACTGTCTTCATAAATTTTATAAAAAATTAGTAATTAGTTTTATCTGGCGTTTTAAAACTGCAAATGATTCTGAAAATGAAATTACCTTCCAATCTTTTCTATATTGCTATGAAATTATTATTTTTATCGACCGTTATTTGGTTCATTCTAAATAAATATTATAATACAACTTCCTTAATACCAGTAAACTTATAAGTAATGTGCAATTTTTGAATATGACGACTTAATAATAATCCGGTTGATTTACTACAATCAAAGTATCGATTGTGATATATTTTTTTGAATTCAATATTCTAAAATCTATATTTCTATGGACTTTCTCGGTACTGTGATGACTTAGAATTTGGTTAATGCTAACTCAGAAACCTTTTCTTGGTTTTACATAGCTAATATCGTATTCTCCTTATTGTACATCAGAGAGCCAGAAACTAACTTATTCAAGTCGTTTACTAGATTCATATATGGATTAAACCCATTACTATCTTCGCTCTCACCCATTTTTCTGCGCTCTTCTTTAATAAAACTCATATAAAGGATTTAACAAAATAAATAGTTCTGCAATTTTTGGATCGAGTTTCCTCTTCTGTTGAAAGTTTTACAACAGATAATCAGAAAATAATATCGTAAAATGTAATAATACTATGATAAATATTTATTCTTCAGAAAGTATCTAAGCATACAAAGGAGTTTAAAAGAGGCTAACTACATAAATGTATATGGCAGCATGGCTTATAAGGTTCCCCGTGGAAAAAGATCTTAAACATTTGTAGGGTAAGTAATCTAAAAAAACAAAAATAGAAGCCGAAAAGACTGAGAAAAAACTCCGCACGGGCTCTAGTTTGTTAAAAAACCTATGATGATTTCCTTCTTGCAAAAACTTTAAATAATGAAAATATATTATCTCCGTCACCAAATATCATTCAATGAGACAAACTGACATATTCCTAAAAAGTATATCATAAATTACCTAGTAATACTTTATTAGCTATAAAATCTGTATTCCAGCTATAGTGGCATTTTGTAAATTTAAAAATAGCTAGATTTAACTTTAGATCTGAACTATTGCAGAGCACAGACATTTTAATGGAATATGTGAAACAATTTACTATATGGTGAACTAAACATATAAGGAAATTTTATCCTCTTTTCTATTTGGTAGTATTACTATGGAAGTGCTTACTACCAATCTAGATTGCTCAATAATTAAATGAAAAATAAAAATTGTAAGTTACAAGACGAGCATGATAAATAGTTTATTTGTTAATAACTTTATTCTAGTGCTCGTGAACAATCATCCTTAGCGAATGATTCCATATGCAAGAATCTATTTTATTTTACAATTTGCTTTCTTTATATAC